CTTCCCCAGACATGAGGAGCTTTTTTTTTTTTCTTTAAGGTAAACTTTGTAGATGAAGCATAAAACACACAAAGAAAGTGCACAGATCGTATGTGTACAGCTCAGTGAATTTTCTGAAAGTGAACCCACCATGTTACCAGCTTCGCCCAGAGCATCTGCTCACTGTTAGGCCAGTTGTGTTTATTTTCTGACAGTAGCTCTGGGCAGTTTTCCTTAGCTCCTGTGAAAGAAGTCCCTGAGCAGGGTGTGATTATGTCATTTGGCTGAGCTGGTGGGTCCCGACAGGCTGGTGCTGAGAGGCTTGGACCATGATGGCTGGTCCCCTATGGTGGTCACCAAGCAAGATGTACTGGGATCCTCACAGGCAGAATTGCTCTGTGCCTCTCACAATGCCCGTGCAGAAGTGTCAGGAAGACAAGGTGGTCCTTGATGCCCTTGCTGATGGCGACAGGAACTTAGCCCCGGGGCTGCCTTTGGGCTCCAGGCTTTCCCCTGCTGACACCCATGTTGCCTGCCCTCTCTGGTCTCTGGGGGGGAGGGGTATTTGGGAGTCCTGCTGCTGCTGGACTCAGAGGGATGCTTTTCAGTCAAAACCCATAGGACAGGTGGGAGAAGCCTCGCCCCTCCAGCCCCGCTCTGGACTGCAGGGGAGGAAAGTGGCTTCACCAGTTGCTTTTTTTTTTTTTTTTTTTTGGCTACGTTGGGTCTTCGTTGCTGTGGGCGGACTTTCTCTAGTTGCAGTGAGTGGGGGCTACTCTTCATTGCGGTGTATGGGCTTCTCATTGTGGTGGCGTCTCTTGTTGCAGAGCATGGGCTCTAGGCGCATGGGCTTCAGTAGTTGTGACACACGGGCCTAGTTGCTCCGCGGCATGTGGGATCTTCCCAGACCAGGGCTCGAACCCGTGTCCCCTGCATTGGCAGGCGGATTCTTAACCACTGTGCCACCATGGAAGTCCTACCAGTTGTCTCTTAAGCCCTGGGCATTTGAGGCCCCTCCCACAGCCCCCCTGACCCTCAGGAAAGGGCTCCCTCAATGTCACACCTCCCCAACATGTGTGTCCCTCTCTGTCCCCCTCTCTCCGAGGGCCTGTTGAGCACTGGGGCCTGGAGGGCCAGGCTCAGTCTGAGGCCTGTGTCCCTCCCTCAGGTGTAACTCCAACTTGGGGGTCTTAGCTCAGGGCAGCTTCTCTGCCCTTTGTGCTGACACAGTGGGGTAGTTAGTGTCTAGGAAAGGACGAGCTCCAAGGTGAACCCTCACCAAGGTGAACCTCCTGCCCGTCAGGCCCTGTCTAGGAGGGCTCAGGTGGGAAATGAGTTGCTTACTGAGAATCCACATCCGCAGTGAGCTGATTCCTGTGCAAGGCAGGGCTCCCAGTCCCGCAGGATTCAGGAATTGCAGCTGTTTGGGGATGTTATTGCTGCTCAGAGGTCCTGGGAAGGCTGGTGTCCCCTTAGCCATTCTCCAGGGCTGGAGAACTTCTCCCACCCCCATTTCTAGAACACTGCCTGACCGCAGGAATAGGTAGTCCTGAAGGAGGTGCTCAGCTGTGACAAGAGGATGGGGCTCCCAGGGAAGGATGGGCACAGCCGCAGGCTGGAGGGTTGGGATAGAAGCAGAAGCCCCATGGAGCTGAACCTGTTCCCTGAGCACCAAGGCTCCCCCAGGGGGCTCACTGGGAAGGGTGGTGGGCTTTGGGATCAGGCATGTCCCCAGGCATCTTCTGGGGCACCTGTACCAATTCCCACAGCTGCCAGCAGTGTGGACGCGTCTGATTTCCCTCAGCTCAGTGGCAATTTGTTTAAATGTTCATCTTTATTCTTGCTAGTTTAGTAAGTAAATCAAGGTTTGTTAGATTTTTAATTTAAATTACTTTAATTGTTAATGAGATTGTAGATTTTTCCATGTGCTACACATCAAAAACTAATCAGTTCCCTAAAAACAAAAATTAAACCCTTGTGCTCACCCCGGCACAGCCTGTGAGTGGTGCTGAGCAGGTCACGTGACCTCACCTGTATCAGCCTGCCTGTGTCTGGAGTGGGGAAGCGTTGCCCTGCCTCAGGGTAGGAATGGGAGTGGCCTGGGCCTGTACTCACAGCAGCCAGGGGCAGAGATGGACAGCTGGGCCCCCCTGCCAGCCTCGTGACCAGACCCAAAGCTGGGTCGCCCCCACCTATGGGCCCAGTGGCCACGTGGATGTGTCTGTCAGGGCCACCTGTTGGCCAGGACCTGCAGCCCTGGCACTGCCAGCCACCCCGGGTCCTCGGGGCACAGTGGCACCGGCAGCAGCTCTGAGCTGAGCCCTTCCTCTCTTCCAGCGGCCCCGGCATGGTGCTCAAGGCCTTCTTCCCCACGTGCTGTGCCTCGGCGGACAGCGGCCTCCTAGTTGGACGGTGGGTCCCGGAGCAGAGCAGTGCCGTGGTCCTGGCTGTGGTGCACTTTCCCTTCATCCCCATCCAGGTCAAGGAGCTCCTGGCCCAGGTGCAGCAGGCCAGTCAGGTGGGCGTGACTGTGCTGGGCACCTGGTGCCACCGCCGGCAAGAGCCGGAGGAGAGCCTGGGCCACTTCCTGGAGGGCCTGGGCGCCATCTTCTCCCACAAGCCCTGGTTCCAGCTATGCCGAGAGAGAGGCAGCAAGTCCTGGAGATGCAAGGCCACCCACTGGCAGGGGCCCGCCTCCCCTGCCACCTCCGGCGAGGACCAGGTCATTCTTATTTTCTACGACCAGCGCAAGGTGCTGCTGTCCCAACTGCACCCGCCCACGGCCCTGCCCGACTGCCAGGCTGGGGACACCACAGCCAGTGCGGGGGGCCTGGCTGCTGTCTTTGACACAGTGGCGTGTAGCGAGGCACTCTTCCAAAGTGACCGGTTCGATGAGGGCCCCGTGCGGCTGAGCCACTGGCAGTCGGAGGGCATGGAGACTAGCATCCTCGTGGAGCTGGCCAAGTGGGCAGCAGGGCCTGTCTGCCTGTTTCTGGCCTGCCTGCTGTCTCTCATCTCGGCTGCCAGCGCCTGTCGGTAGGTGCCCCTTGGCCGGGCGAGGGAGAGTCGGGCCCCTGAGGCCTAGGCCCACCCCTTGGTGTGCAGGGGTCATGGAGGCCCAGATGGCCCTTCTGAAGCTTACCACTGCCCCCCGCACCCCTGCTCTCATCCCACGCTCCCTCCGCACTGTAGCTCAGAGGACACCCTAGTGGTGGTTTCTGTTCTGGTGCCCCTCACTCCTGTGGCAAAGCTAGGCTTCCTGGAAGCCCCTGTGGTTGCGTGGGACACACTGAGTAGGGATACATGGTGACCCTCAGACAGCTCAGGTCCCTGAAAGGAGAATTAGATGATGAACAGACCCGGGTTGTTGCCGTGCAGGGGCCACTGTTTGCCTTGCTGGCGAGTTGCTTGTCCTCCTGCAGACCCACAGACCCACAGGCCCACCTGCTTCCCTGGCCCTGACCTCGCAGGAGAGGCAGCCCTGGGAGGCTGTGGGACAGCATCCACTTGCTGTCTGTGGGGCTGGGGGCGTGGTCCCCAGCCTGGGCTGCTCTCTAGAATTACCGGAACACTCCTGGCTGCGGGCCTGGTCGAGGGATTTGTAAAAGCCCCTGGGGGCCCTGAGGATGCTGGGGCAGCACGTGGGTGTTCTGGCGAGTTAGCCACAGGACCCTCTCTCTGTGAGAAGCCACCTCCCTGGTGGCACCATCTGGTATGGGACAACTGTGCTGCATCCTCAGGTCCAGGGTTTCAGCTGTCGGGTTTGGGGACTGGCCTCGCCGGCTCACCAGGGGCTCTGGGAGCGCTTGGGCCTGTCCCTGCAGAGAGACCCCAGGAGCTATGTGCGCACACCACCTTGGGCTGTGGGGGCTGCTGGGTATCCTGTCCTGAGCGGTGAGTTTCAGAGCTTCACAGCCCCTTGGAATGAATCGTGTGAAAGTGTGTCTGGGCCTGGGTGCAACTTTGGGAAGAGAAATTCCTTTTGTCAGCTCTCAAAGAAAGCAAGAAAGGTTATGAACCGCTTGAGTACCCCGAATCCCAATCTGCCCCTTAGGTAGGCAGGTGCTGGCTGTTGGTGGAGGTCAGGAGCCCTGTGACGTCCATGTGGGGCATGGCTGTTGCTGCCCAGGGCAGGTGCAGGTGCTGCCCAGGGCTGGTCTGAACCTCAGGGAGACCCTGCATGGTGGTCTCTGCAGCCCATGCAAGGCTGCCTTCCACTGGACTGGAACGGGGGGTGCAGTGCGGACCACACTTCACTCTTGGAATTGTGTCAGAGTGGCTTGGCTGAGGACAGAAGCTTCAAACCTTCAAGGTCAAGACCTCCTTCCTCCCGAGGGCCTGAGCGTGGTCATCTGGCGGCTCTGCACTTTGCACGAGCCCTTCAGGTCCCTCCTGCCGGCAGTGGGGCTCTGGGTGGGAGCCAGGCTCTGAGTTGCCATTGGTCGCTTTCTCCACCTTTGCTTGAGAACATCTCCCCTCAATGCCTGCATGTCTGTGAAGTGTCTGGTGCTTTCTTTGCTGCGTGAGAGATCATTCTCGTTGAGCAGTCAGGTCAGCTGAAACCCTTGACACGGACACCCGTCCGGCAGGCACTCAGCTTCAGTGCCTGGAGTCAGCACCTTGCATTCCCAGTTGATGGTTGTGAGCGACCACAACCCCCGCTGGGCTGCCCACCTGGGTCCTCCCCCCGTGTCCCCGCCCCGCTGAGTTCAGGAGTGTGGCTACTGGTATTTGGGGAGACCAGGGCCCTTCCTCTCTGCACGTTGAGGGATGTTGGCCACGGCTGAGACGGTCCTCCCTCCCTGGCGGGCAGAAGAACCCCAGAGACCCGGGGGCCCATCCTTCTCCCCTCCTCTGCAGGGTGTTCAGGCTGTGGCCACTGTCCTTCATCTGGAGCAGACTCTCCACGTGCGAGCAGCTCAGGCACCGGCTGGAGCAGCTCACACTCATCTTTAGCACCCGGAAGGCTAAGAATCCCACCCAGCTGATGAGGTACGGGCCCAGCCCCTTCCCCACAGCAGGCCTGCCCAAGCTGACCCTTTCTGGCCACGCCACCCTCACCACTCGCTCCTGTTGGACCTCTCCTTCCAGGAAGGCCAACATGCTTGTCTCTGTGCTCTTGGATGTGGCCCTTGGCCTCATGCTGCTGTCCTGGCTCCACAGGAAGGACCTCATCGGGCAGCTGGCTGATGCCCTCATCCCTGTGGCTGACGTGAGTTGGTTGAGGTGTACTTGAACACCTGTTTCCCAGGGTTGGGGGGCAGGACCCTTCCTGGGAGCATCAGAGGCCCCTCAGCCAGCCAGAGCAGCTCACCCCGACCCCAGACAAGTCCCCTAGGAGCTGCTGTGTCTTACAGAATAGGTGGGACTGTGTAGACCTGGGCCCTCCAGCTCCTGGCCTCTTCCTGCAGGTGGCCTGTCTGGAGCCCCCTTGTGTTGGAGACTTTTAGGGAGAGCCACCTCCCTGCCAGGCTCAGTGTCATGGCATCCCCATTGCCTCCCCACCGTGCATGACTATTTCTGCTCTCCTGGCTCTTCGGGGTGGCTCACTTTCGGCCTGGGCGCTCTGCACAGTCAGCATCACAGAGACCTTGTGTGCGTCCCGGTGTCTGTGTGGTCGAGCTCAGCCTCCCACCCTGATGCCTGCACCAGTTCTGCATCTCCCATGCTGAGAGCCAGAGGCACCAGCTCATCAGCTGTGCTCCTGAACTTGCCCTGCACAGTCTGTGCACCATTCCCAGGGCCTGGGCACCGCCCCAGCCTCCTCTCCCTTCCACAGTCATCCTCCCACTGTCTGTCCGTGCTGGCTCTGAGCCTTCATCTTCTTTGCCTCCTTCAGAGGCCCTGTCACTTCTATTGGGAGGTTGTCTTCTTGCCTAGGGCAGCCCCTCTGGTCCCTCAGTGCCCCACCCCGCTGCCACCTCTGCCCAGGCCTCTGTGGGGCTGCTGGCCCTGGGTGTGGTAGAGCCGCTGCGGCCTGGATGCGAGGTCCTTGTGGGCTCAGCTGCTGCCTGCTGTCATCAGCGTCCAGGCACAAGTGTGCACTGGGCCTGCCTGTGGCCAGGCCAGGACCCTGCAGGCAGGAGCCCCTACAGGCCAAGAGTCCCATAGCTTCTCAGGGAGGCCTGGCCCAGGAGGGAGGAGGGTGCTCTGCCTTTTGGCCAACTTCATCCTAGGCCTCCCTTTTGCAAAATTGCTCAGAAATATAAATATTTAATTTAAAAATGAAAGCCTCTTCCTGCCGCCAAGCTCTTATCCTTTAAATATTAAATAAGGTCTATTTATAAAGAACATTCTGTTCCCCTTCTCACTGCTCCTGACACGGCAGAGGGCTTCACCCAGGGTTGGGAAAGGCCTGCATTGGTACGTGGGAGGGAGGTGGCAGACTTTGGGGCAGGGATGTCGGTCCTGTGGCCTCAGTGTTGGTGATGAGGCCAGGAGTCCTCCAGGCCTGCCTGCCAGGGCTGGCACAGCTTTCCTCCTGGGGCGGCCAGGACAGTAGTCGGCCTCCCTGCTTGCTTGTGAGGGTCCCTGTTCTATCTCTGGTCCTCAATTAACATTGTTCTTCCCTCTTCGGGACTCTCCAGTACCCACCTCTGCCCCACCCGCCTGCTATGGGGGCCCCTGATGGGCTTGACCCCCTCACTCTCACTCAGGGTCACCCAGATGGGTAACCAGGGTGGGGCCAGTTGATGGACGGTGTGGCCCTCATGTGTCCTCGCAGCACGTGGCCGAGGAGCTCCAGCATCTGCTACAGTGGCTGATGGGCGCACCTGCTGGGCTCAAGATGAACCGGGCGCTGGACCAGGTGCTGGGCCGCTTCTTCCTGTACCACATCCACCTGTGGATCAGTGAGTGCCAGCGGTCAGGCAGGCCGCCTCGGGGTTTCACCCAGCCCCACTGACCTGAACCTTGGCTTCTGAAGCCCGTGCCCCCAGGGACATAGACCCTGGCTGAGGCGGGGCAGTGGGGCCCAGCCAGGCCCTGTCCCCTTGGTCTCTGCTTCTTGTTGACCCAGCATCCTGTGTGTGGAGCCTTGCTATGCTGTGCTGGCCACTCACAGTTTCCAGAAGGTTGGGGCAGCCATCCTCATGGTGGACTTGGGGGGACCAGGACCTCCCTGGGCTCCCCCCTCAAGGCTGAACCCCATCCCACCAGGCTACATCCACCTCATGTCCCCCTTCATTGAGCGCATCCTGTGGCATGTGGGCCTTTCAGCCTGCCTGGGCCTGACGGTCGCCCTGTCCATCCTCTCAGACATCATAGCCCTCCTCACCTTCCACATCTACTGCTTCTATGTCTATGGCGCCAGGTGGGTGTGCACCCCCCCACTCCTGCGGGCTGACCCAGTGCAGCCCCCCCAGCCCTGGGCACCACAGACAGGCTTCCGGGGCCAGGTGGGCATGGGGTCACCAGCCCAGCTCTGATGGTACCACGTCCTGCAGGCTATACTGCCTGAAGATCCGTGGCCTGTCCTCACTCTGGCGCCTGTTCCGAGGGAAGAAGTGGAATGTTCTGCGCCAGCGCGTGGACTCCTGCTCCTATGACCTGGACCAGGTACCGGCTCCAGCTCCAGTCCAGCTGCCCCTTCCGATGGGCCAGTACAGCTGCTCAGGCACCACAAGGGGCAGCCTCACTCCTGTTTTGCAGGGCTCCGGGGTGTATGGGGAGCTGCAAGGGGTAGGGTGTATGCAGGACCTCAGACAGGGCAGAACCTTGCCCAGGAGGGGATGGACCCTGCTCTCAGAAGGCCGCGGGGCTGCAGGTGCTTAAGGTGACCTCGCACAGGGCTTGGCTCTGGCTAGTCCCATTAGCTTGCTCAGACCTGACACAGGGACCCTGAGTGCTGCCTTCCAGGGCACGTTTGTTGCTGCCTGATTTTCACCACCCTCCTGTCTTTAGTGTACGGGCTGTATACCCTATCAGCTGGTCTCCCCAGCCCCTGTCACCCCACGCGTCACCGGGTCTGGAGGCAGGTGTCCCTCCCAGTACTGGAGAGAGCTGTCCTGAGCGGGCTTCCCCAAGTGGTCTCAGGAAGCCGGCAGGTGTTCCATCTCTGCTCAGTTACAGGACAGATTTGGTGGGATGGGTATCAGGGGTGTGCCCAGTGCTGGCAGGGCTGTCGCCCAGCACGGGGCTTTTGCTGATGCTGGCATCCTTTCTCCCTGTAGCTGTTCATCGGGACCTTGCTGTTCACCATCCTGGTCTTCCTTCTGCCCACCACGGCCCTGTACTACTTGGTGTTCACCCTGGTGAGCCAAGTGCTGTGTACCATGGGGGTGCTGGGCGTGTCACCTGGCCAGTGGACCTAGCCCACAGTGCTTGGAGTGGTGACTGCCAGCAGCTGTGGGCAGGTCGTCCATCCCTGCCGGCCACATGGGGTGTGGCTGTTCTGGACTCTGGGCAGTGTGTGCTGGCCCTGGAACAGGCAGGGGTCCCACCCGGGGGGACACCACCCACTACTGCTCTGGGACATGCAGCTGGGTTCACAGAGGGCAGGGGTCTCCCATGGTATGGGGGAGGCGAGCGCAGACAGCAGGAGGGGAGTGGCCCCCAGGTGGCTGGGCTGAGGGCCCAGTGGCATGTTTACCTGGGTTGGAGCACCACCTCCTCTGACCTGGCAGCACGGCAGACCGCTCCAGCCTGTGGCTTCCCTGCCTCCCTGTGCTCAGGCCTCAGGTTCAGGGCGGGGTCCCTGCCCTTCTCTTGGGACCCATCAGGCTGTTCTGCTCAGGGGCATGCAGTGTGGCTGTGGCCACAGTCCCAGGTCAGAGACCCTGAGCACTGTCTGTGATGCAGCTCCGGCTCCTGGTGGTCGCTGTGCAGGGCCTGATCCATCTGCTTGTGGACCTCATCAACTCCCTGCCGCTGTACTCACTCGGCCTCCGGCTCTGCCGGCCCTACAGGCTCGCAGGTAGGTCTGCGTGCTGGCTAGGCGGCGCACCTGCGGGCTCTGGATGCGGCAGTGTGTGGGGCGGGCAGGGAGGACAAGAGCCTGGTCCCGGGGCCTGAGCTGGAGGGAGAGGCTCCCTGGCTTCAGGTTCAGAGGCCGCATAGGCAGCCCTCCGCCTCCTCAGCCTCCCCTGTGACGAGTGTGGACGTTTGCTCTGAGGTCTGTCTGCAGTAGTCCTGTAGGTGGTGCCTGAAAGTGGCTCAGAAAAGACGTGTCCCGTGTGGTTGTGTGGAGCTGTGTGTGCCTGCTGGTGCCCCTCCTCCTGGAGGGGACCGGCCAGGGTGGAGGACGCCGGGCTGGCCAGAGCTGTGTGACAGGCGTGCCTCCCGCCCCGCCCCCAGCAGGCCACCACCTGCGGGGACAACACGCACCAGCTCAGCTGCTCCTGCCATCCCCTCTGCAGGTGACACCCCTGTTTGCATGCTGACACCAGCCACGGGTTGCCAGATGCCCCTGACAGGAGGCTGTCCCCACTGCAGGCCTAGGGAGGCCCGACCCAACTGGTCACTGAGTTGTGGGTTGGCTCATCCGGTTCAGGGGCTTTGAACATAACAGGAAACTTGAGGAGTTGCTGGCACGGCCCTGGAGCTGACCAGCATGCCCAGGAGGCCCTGGACTAGTTTGCAAATGGCAGCTCAGCCGCACGCCAGAGTTTACAGCTGCTGCTTCCAGCCAGTTCCGAGTCAGAAGACATGAATGTGCATGTTCCCTGGGCTTTGGGCCTTGAGTCTGCCCGCTGGATGTCCTCAAACCCTCTTTCCAAGCCACGTTCTCCACAGACCCCCAGGTGGCCCAGGCCAGGGGCCCATGTGTAGTGCTGCCCATGCTCCCTGGTCCCCCAGCCCCCACCCACACTTCAGCACGCCTGGAAGCAGGCAGGTGGAGAGCCTGGACCCGGCACCTTCCTCTCCCAGCCCTCAGCTCACGGCTAGAGCAGAGTCCTTTTAACTTCACATAAAAGGCCACAGATGCCGCCTCTTCTGTCCACCGAGTTTGCCTTGGGGCCTCTTCATCAATTGATAATTAGCTCCTGTTTCTCCTTTCAAGAACCTTCCGCCTTGGGAATCCCCAGGCTTGAGAGCCCACACTGCAGGCCAGAGTGTGGTGGGTCCCTGAGTCAGCCGTGCACACAGCAGTTGGAAGGCACTGAGATGCCAGCAGGGTGCCCACCACCCAGCAAGTGCCTCGTCCACTCTGGGAAAACCCCCGTCCTACTCAGAAAGCAGCACAACCTGCCCGCTTTTCCCGCCTGCCAGACCCGCGGCTTTGGTCTCTCAGTGCAGTTCTGCAGGAGGCCCTGACGAGGGCCAGGCTGCAGCTCAAGGAGGCAGATGGGAAGGATGGGCTGGAGAGGCGAGCTGCTGCCCGGGCAGCCTGTAGCCCTCGGAATGCCGCTCAGAGCAGGAGTGCTGGTGGGGGCAGCCTGCAGGGCCCTGGGAGCCCTGGAAGGCCGCCCTCCCTCATGGGGACCTTGCTCTCCTTACAGCTGGGGTGAAGTTCCGAGTCTTGGAGCACGAGACTGGCAGGCCCCTCCGCCTCCTGATGCAGGTAAGGCCTCCACACAGCCCTCATGCTGTTGCCCGCCATGAGGCCGCCCATGTTCTGAGGCATGTTCTCTGCCGCCCTGGGTGTGGGCCTCACAGGCCTGGGTGAGGTGCAGGCAGGAGGGCCCAGCAGAGCTGAGGGGTGGGGCGTGGGGGAGGCTCACCCACCCCCAAGGCCTCTGGGCACCATGAACCTCTGTGCCTGGAACCTCCCCCAGCAGGGCCCATGTATGGGGTCCCCTATGCTGTGCCAGACACCCTCAGCCACCCAGGGCACCTGCCTGCTGGGCCTGCATCCCTGTCTCTTGCCCTGGGCCCCCGGGCTCTCCTTCCAGGCAGAATAGCAGAGACTTGGCAAAGGCCTCGGGACACACCTGAGGCCTACTCTGTTGAGCTCCTTTATCTTAAGCAGTCTGGGGCCTGTCTTGCGGGAGGGAGCAGGCCAGGTGCCGGTGTTACTGGATGCAGGTGTCCAGTTGGCCTGAGGGGAGAGGTCAGATGCTGAGGCAGCCGGGCCCTGTGTGGTTTTCTCGGGAGTGTCCTGAGTCCCACTTGAGGAGGCTCCAGGGAGCTGAGTGAGTCCTGGAATGGAGGGGTCGGTGCCCCGCAGCTGGGCCAGAGCGGAGCCTGCCTGACTGTGGCCCAAGCCTGCCTCCCAAGCCGCTCACCCTGACCCCCGTGTACCCCAGGCAAGAGCGCATCTGGCACAGAGCTGGCCCTGCCCCATGGTTGTCCAGCCCGGGGACCCCCCACTAAGGCCTGCTGGTCCTAGACAGCTGGACTCCCAGGGAGTTGGGGGCTGTGTCCCGGCTGACCGCTGCCCTTGTGCTTCCAGATAAACCCCCTGCCCTACAGTCGTGTGGTGCACACCTACCGCCTCCCCACCTGTGGTTGCCACCCCAAGCACTCCTGGGGTTCCCTGTGCCGCAAGCTGTTCTTCGGGGAGCTCATCTACCCCTGGAGGCAGAGAGGGAACAAGCAGGACTGAGGGACCCTGGCCACCAGCCAGCCCAACACCACCTCCTGCCAGGGTGTCAGGGTAGCATATGGTCCTGCTCTTTGCCTTCCTGCCCCTGGTTGCCTGGGGCCTCTGCAGGCCCTGCCAGGGCCCTGCCTGTCACATCTCCTCCTGACTCTGAGGTCGTGGGAGTAGTGAGCAGGAGGACGCGGGAATGGCCAGCCAGGCCAGCGGCCCGTGCTCCAGCACCAGCACATTTGCCTCGGGAACCACCTGCTGACCTGTTGTGATGGCACGGTTAACCTGGTGCACACCGGCCCCCCAGGCCTATCCAGGAGCCCCATCCTGCCCCCCACCCCAGTCTATACCCAGACCCTAGGAGGTGGTGCAGAGCCCTGCCTCTGCCCACCATGCCCGTTCCCAGTGGGGTGGGCTGGCAGGTCTTTCTGGCTGCTCATTGGCGCCCCACCCTGTCATGAGGTGGAGGGGATCCTTCCCAGGGTGCACTCAAGTGTCCTTGAGACTCTGGCCCCCAAGCATCTCCTTCTCTGGGGGATGCCCTCCTGGGTCCCCAGTGCCTTCCAGCTGTCTCAGTGGAGCCACAGCCAGCCAGTCTGGGGGATCCAAGCCACTGCTGACCCCCAGCGCAGTCCAGCAGCTCCAGGAACCTGGGCAGCAGCGCCCCTCATGCCCTGATTCGCACAGGGCTTACTTGTTGATGCTCCTGGAGAGACTGCTCTGCAGGAGGAGCTGCCCTCAGGGCTTTGGGTGTGCCTGTGTGAAGCCAGGCCACATGGGGTGCCTGGAGCTGTCAGCAGAGAACCATGCAACCGGCTGCCCCGTTCCTGCCCTGTACCCCTGCAAATCTTCCATCTCGCTCACTGGCTTCTCCTGGGCAGATGCTCCTGCAGCCCCCAGGGAGGGGTCCTAGTACTCAGGCTGCATCTCCCTGCTGGCCACAGGCAGAATCTGAGTGTGGGTGTGAGCCCCAGAATCCCCAGGGGGAGGAAGCCTCAAGATGCGGGTGGCGTCACATATGGTGTGTCATCGTGGAGTTGGAGATGTTCATGCTGTAGGCAGCGGGGCAGCGCTCTCTGTCCATCCCAGGCACTTGGGACTGTCCACTTCTGCCACCCACGCTCCTTGGCTGTGGGCCACAGTGGGAGGGGGCCTGGAGGAGTCCCCACCAGCCCAGGGTCAGGCAGGAGGGGTACTGGCTCTGTCTTTTCTCCTGGGACAATAAAGCCTCCCACTTATTTGGAGTGTGCGCTCTGCCTTCCCATCACCACGTGGGCAGTGGGTCTGGGAAGGCGCCCCTTCTCCTGGGGTGGTGGGACAGCTGGCCCCCACTTTTTGTCTTGAGATGATTACCATGCCTGTTTCCCCTTTGCTGCCAAGCTGCGGGGCACTGGGCTCCCTGTCCCCTAGAGCAGGCCTCTTTGCAGGTCTGGTGCATGTGTACGTAGGCTCTGGCCTCTTGAAGATGTCCTCGTGTGGATGGATGGACCCAGGGCCACTTGCTTTCCAGTTTTGGCCTTGCCGTGGCTTGAGGAGCTCCCAGGGCAGGGCTGGGGGCAGGGGTGCAGACCTCTCTGGGAGCAGGGGTGAGCTCTGATATATATGTTTGTCACCACCTGAAACCTGTGGACTCCACACAGGAAGGGGCTCTCCCTGATGGACTCTGCCTGACCTGTAGCCTCCAGGGACCCTCAGGTGGCTTCCTCTGTGCCTGCTGTACTGGCTATGGAGGCAAGGGGGTTGGAGCCCAAAGGGGTCACTCAGCAACTGCCAGGCCTGCATCACCACTGAGGGTCAGCAGAGGGCCCCACATGGCTCCTGGTGGGCAGGACCACACCCCAGGGCCTGCTGAGAAGAGCCTCCATCACCTGCATTTCTGGGGCCACCTTCCCAGTCACCAGATGCCAAGACACAGAGATGGCCCATGGGGCCTGCCTCACCTCCCGCTGAATTCTCTCCCCTGCTCTGGTGGTGGCTGTGTTCCAGGCCTTTTCTGGCAGCTGTCACTCTCATGCCAGGTGCGGGGCTGCCTGCCCATCTCCCAAGGGCCAGCCCAGGCCTGGCACCAGAGCTGGCCGAGGGAACAGTGGTCACTCCAGCCACTAGCAGCCACCAAGACGTGCCACCTGCATGTCCTAGGCTGCTCCCATCCTGTGTGTCGTCCCTGGACCTGTACAGCCCTTGCCTAGGGACAGCCTTCATCTGTGGCCCCTCATCCTCAACCCAGGGCTCTGACCACCCCTGCCACGCTGACCTGGCAGAGCCTTGTCCTACAACTTCTCCGAGGCTGATCCTCAGGCTGCCCTGAAAAGTGGATGCTTCCCCTTTCAGTTGGGGCCACCACCTCCCAGACAGGTCCTCACGGCCATCCACAGAGAAGGGCCCTGTGCTCTTCCAGTGTGGAGACAAGCTCAGAGAGGGGTGGTGAGCTGCTGAAGCAGGCGGTCTGAGCCATATAGTTCACTCCCGCCATCTCCCTCCTGTCCTTGAAAACTTACTTTGATGTGATTTCAACTCAAAGAAACAGCTAGCACATCACAACCTTCAACAAATTCCCTGGGGCTAATGTTCTGCCACAGCTGCTTTTTCATGCTCATGCTCTAACTTTTCTAAACCATCTGATCATCAGTTGCCCCTAATTGTGCTCCTAAGATGCCCAGTGTATATCTTGTAAGGCCAAGGACTGACCTGTGTAACCAGGGCACGGCAAGGAGCATGGGTGGGGCCACCTCACTTCCCATGCTCCTGGGCGCCAGTCTCAAGAACACTTTGCCCTCATCCACCCCACAGCCCGTCTCTGCCTTTCCCAGCACTGGGGTCCTCAAAGATCCAGCCAGTCACTTGGTAGCCTGTCCCTATGTGGGGTTCGTCTGATGATTCTGAGATTCAGCTCCTGTGCTCTTAGTGGGAACATGTAAATGCCACTGTGTCCTTCTCAGGCATCGCCTTGGGAGGAACACTGTGTCTGTCCAAACCAGTGATGTCAACCTGACCCACCAGGTTCTCTGCAAAGCTACTCTCCCTTTTATATAACAAGTGATTAGTACAGAGATATTTTCGACCACGTGACCGTCCCGTCCCTCCTACCCCTCTGGCCCACTAGCTGGCAGCATCCACCATTGATTCTTGCCGGTGCACACAGCTTTCCACGCCCTCTGCCTGTAGGACTTGAGTGGGGCCTCTCCTGGCAGCAGGCCTGGACTGGGGGTCAAGTAACTGACACTTGTGTGAGAGCTCCTAGGGCACCAGGACCAAGGTCTGTTTGCCCCAATGGGTGGTCCCCAGGCCCTTCTGAGTGGACAGCTTTGGGTATCCTGGAGTGGGGGGAAGGAGACACCCCAGACCATTCGTTTGTTCCCTCCTGGACAGAGGCTGAGTCTGGAGGCCTGGCCCGCATCCTCGCTCGGAGCCAGTGGGTGTGGGAACTGCAGGGGAGACTGTCAGGGCTCTTCACCAGACACCTCTGGGGCCTCCAGAGAGACTCAGAGTTACCCTCGACCACCCAACACCTGGGCGCCTCGCAGGGCTGACCCAGGACCTGCGAGCGGAGGGCTGTTCTGGGCTGCTTTCTCCTTGGCCTGAGGTTCCTCCAAGGTCCCCTGGGCCAGGCCTGACACTTAGTGGGTCCCAGAGTATCCTTGCAGAAGGGCATGCAGCTACGTTGGAGGCCAGCTCCTCCACCCACAGGGCCTCCTGGACAGCAGGGAATGGCACCCCTCCAGCCATCCCTCCCTCAACTGGGCCCCACTGCCCCAGACCCTGTGGGTTCCTGCGGTGCCTTTCTGCTCTGAGGTTGGGAGGTCGGAGGTCAGAGGGAACCGGAGCAGCACAGGAAACCAGTAAATCAGGAGGACAGGAAGCACCTAACAGGTTGCTGAGTCTTGCTCCCAGGATCAGGCTCCGTGGACAGGTTCTAGGGATGGTCTCGCCTGCTGCACAAGCTGTGCTGGGAAGGACCCAGCCGGCCTCACTTCGTCCCTGGTGATGGAGAACCAGGCAGCGGGGCCTACAGCTGCTGGAGCCCCTTCGGGGGAAGTCCTGATGTACAAAGGGTGCTTTTGGTTTAAATACTCTGCAAAGTGGAATGATAATAGTTTCTCACCCACCATCCCTTCTGGGCAGCCTCAGAAACCGAGGACATGTCAGTCCCACATGGCTTCCAGCCCCAGAGAGGGGCCTCAGTGACTTCAAAGCGGGGAGTAGGCAAAGCCAGGCTGAGGTGGGCTCCAGGTTGGGTGTAGTGACCTCTGCCAGAGAGGCCGGCTTGGCCGTGGTTGGGGGGTGGCAGGTGGTGGGGACTCAGCTCCCCGCCCCCACCAGCTGAAGGCTAACAAGACTCTGCCCACTGGCTGTCGTTTCTGTAAACACTGTGCTGTGGGTGCATGTGCCCTTTCTCTCTTTTTTTTTTTAAATAAATATATTTATTTATTTTTGGCTTGTTGGGTCTTCATTTCTGTGCGAGGGCTTTCTCTAGTTGCAGCAAGCGGGGGCCACTCTTCATTGCCCAGGCTCGGTAGTTGTGGCTCACGGACCTAGTTGCTCCACGGCATGTGGGATCTTCCCAGACCAGGACTCGAACCCGTGTCCCCTGCATTGGCAGGCAGATTCTCAACCACTGCGCCACCAGGGAAGCCCCATGTGCCGTTTCTGTACACGCTGGGGGCCATGTCTGCTGTAAGCCATCATCCAGGGTTTGGCCACTCTCTGGATTACAAATGAGCAGGTGGCCTTGCCCATCCCTGGCCAGCCTCTGCTCTTGAATGTTCCAGAGGGCCAGGAGGATACCAGGAGAGCCTCTCCCTGAAGGCAGGTGAGAAAGGCCCAGGTGCTTGCTGCCCACCCAACAGAGGGACCAGCTCCTCAGGAAGCCTCCCCGGGCACTCCACCAAAGTGAAACAGTAGAGTGCACATGACTCACTGCCCAATGAGGGTTATCTGCAGCTTGTGGGGGGTGGTCACTTGGTGTTGTGCCCTGCCCATGCAGGGGTCTGCTCTCTATGAAGACCACCTGC